GAACTCTCACAGTGCAAGCTAATATAGCCATATTGGGAAACAGTCTGACAGCATCTTTAAAATTTTAACTGATACCATAAAACAACCCCACTCTTAGGTAACTACCTAAGAGAAATGAAAATGTCTATCAACACAAAGATCTGAAACAAATGTTTATAGTGGTTTTATTTGTAATCATCAAAAATTAGAAACAAATTAAATATCCACCAACAAGTTAAGTCATAACATGAAATATTATTCAGCAATGAAAAGGAGTGAATTTCTGCTATATATAACATGAGTGAATCTCAAAAAAAAATGCTAAGTAAAAGATCATAACCATTTTATTATTCCATTTATATGACATTTAGGAACAGAGATCAGAGCCCAAGCAGTTAAGGAATAGAGGTGGGGAGAAGGGACTGACTTCAAAGAGAGACAAGAAATTTTTAAGGTCACAGAAATCTCTATCTTTATGGCAGTGAGGGTTATATGACTTATGTATTTAGCAAATTTTATTTTTGCTACATGCAAATTATACATCAATAAAAAAATTTATATAATTTTAGAATATATACCTTTGACCTGGACATCCCATTTTAAGAGGTCAACCCAACAGAAATGAATCTGTCACTATGCATGTAAATTAATGTACATTAAAAGAGAAATGGTTAAGTAAAATATGAAATAGTCAATATTACAGAATAAAAGACAAATAATTAAATACACCTAGAAATAGTTCTCTGAGCATTATGGTGTGTGGGAAATGATGGAAAAGTTCTCATTTCACTGACTTGAGCTCTTTTGCTCCACTGAACTTAGAAGTCTGGACCACTACAGGGAACCTGATACTCTCTTGCTGGGTTCATCTGCCATAGTAGCACAATAAAGCTGACTGCATGAATCGCAGTCCAGTTTGGAACTAATGACCGTAGGAAGAGGTACAAAAGCAAAGGTGGCAGCCAATATGACAAAAGTCCTCATAAAGGAATATTGGAAACACCTTGAGCAATTCATTCATTTCTAATGGCTACTACTTTGGCTGACTACACCACTTCACAGTACAAATAGATTTTTAAAACTTGTTCTCATTTCAGAATCATTCACGATGGCCTATATAATGCAGAATACTTTATGATAGTCACTGTCCAGCAGGAGTCTATATTTTCAACAAGATCCCGAGCAAAAATTGAAAAATTAAACAAAATCCCAGCCCCTAAAATCTGACTCTAAACTTTTTTTTTCCACTTGTTTGTAGTACAAGGACCCACAACAAATGCAAAAGAAGGGGGATAAAGGGGCTGTGGTAAAAGGAGCCAAATCAATGAATCTGAACCTATAAGAATTTTTAAAGTCAGTATTATTCCTTTCAAAGTGGTCTTCCAGTGAATCCATTATGTACACAGAACACTGTGAACAAATCTATAGAAATTATTACATTAAAAATCAGGCCTTCCCTGTGGCGCAGAGGGTTAAAGAACAGCACTAAGAAGCTAAAGACTTCCGCATGAGTTCATCCCTCCTGCCCCAGAAGTAACCCACATGGCGCAGCAGACCTCTCCTGACCGGCCCGCTGCTCCTCTCAGCAGTGTACTTCATTGATCTGCCTGTTCTGCTCCCCACTTGTCTCGTAAATCCTCTCACCGCCCCTGCGCCTCTGGCCTGTACCCCAGTTCTGTATGGTAAATCTTTAAAAAAAGGGAAAAAAATCATGAGCACAGGTTCTCCCTGTGGCGCAATGGGTTAAAGCACAGCATTATGAAGCTCTCTGAAGCCACTGCAGCACCAGTTTGATCCCCTGCCAGGGAGCTGACCCACAAGGCGGTTGACCTCTTCTGACCTGCCCGCAGCTACTCTCAGCAGTGTACTTTGTCGATCTGCCTGTTCTGCTCCCCACTCTGTCTCTGGTGAATCCTCTCACCCACCACACCTTTGGTCTATACCCCAGTTCTGTGAGCATAAATAAATAAATCTTAAAAAAAAAAATCATGAGAGCACAAGAAATGGAAGGTGTGATGCCTCTTCTTTTTTAAAAACTCCTATGCCACTGTCCCTCCAATTTTTTACACCTTCATTACACAAATAACATTAACACTCTCAGAGACCCAAGAAGCTAAGTATAAGCAGTACGCACACTGATGAGGGAGTATAAAAAACGTTGCACACACCACCATTGAAACAGTTCTCTCACTGTTGCTCTACTGGGATTACCCCACCACCTCCCCGGAATCCTAGTTTACTTCAAAACCTTCTAAGTTAGGGCAGACTAACACGACTTCCAGTATTATCTTAATCATTCACATGAAACTACTAAGACAAGTGTAATGACATGCAAATTCACTTTTCCCAAAATATGATGGGAAGAAAATCACTTGCCTTCACTTGGGGGGATAGCTATTTAAGAGTGAGCATGGCTGGATGCAGACTCCGAAGGCATGCCTCTCCGTGCCAACAGCCACATCAGCTAAAGACGGAATGGCTAAGAATGAGGGCTGTGCTGGAGCTAGAGCATCCATCACCTTTAACATGCTTTTAACCACCTGACCCTTCAATCACTTTATTAGTATCTTACTATACCGCCACTTCAATCACTTTATTGGTTTTTTCCTATACTGTGATTTTAGTGGTCCAACTTGAAAGAAAAAAAAAATAAACCACTGACTGACTAGGGAACAGTTATGATACCCTGTTACTCAAACACACGAATTCTGTAAATAATTGAGGAGAGGGTTGGAGGGGAGAGCAAGGATGCTGAAAAGTCATCTCTTTCTGAGTTGTGGAGGCCCAGTTTCCTTATCCTATGCCATATAAATTCTTACGCGGCGGATCTTTCAAACAGTATGCCAGAGTCACACCAGTGCAACATCACCAAGCAGAAACCCTAGAGTAGGTGTTCTGGACATGCCAGTAAAGAAAGTCACTTCATTTGAGAGATCTCTGCCCCTTCAACCTCACCCTCCTTACCAATATACATTCATCACCAAAAAGGGAAATATTTACAAAAGTTAGTTTAGTTATGTTTAAATATTATGTTTAGCTGTCTGGAGACCATGTTCTCAAAATTTATACAAGAAATCAAGGATTAAACTTCATACCAATTAGAAAACCACACTGTGTAAAATCAAAGACTTAGTTAAAGGACATTAAATAGTTTTACCATTGGTGCTAAACTGAAATGACTCCATGTCTTCCCAACACCTGGAACCAAAACCTTTTGAACTTTCATGTAAACAAACCGGGGCACACCAAATGTCCTGTCTACGGCAAGGTACCACCTCTGCACAGGCATTTGGGTGAAAAATGTGGAAAATGCCTGAGGACTCTTTGAAGCAGCTCGGGAAAAGGGAGAGCAGGAAAGAGGCTCTTCTCTAGGGTACGTTTGTTTAGTGGAAAGTAAGCAAGTTGTCAGGGGAAAAGTTGACAATGTTGATTCCAACAGTTTGAACTGTGAATAAACATCCAAGGGGATTATGTTACTGAGATTTAGAAAAAATTCCATTGAACTCCATAGAACACTTGTGTTTTCAAAGATAATATGTCTTCAAGCCACACTGTGGGTGCACAGTTTAGGGTTAGAATTACCTTAAGCCCTTTCGATGCCACACCGAAGAACATGGGATCAGACCTCCTTAATATGCACCTTAAATATTAGAATAAGAATTGGGAGGGAGGAGGAAGAATAGAATAAACACATATCATTTCTAATAACTGAATTAGAAAATAATAAATACATATATCTGTACATTTGAGGTTGACTGAAGAAATTTGGAGGGAAAAAAATCTATGTTCTTTCTAAACATCTAAAACTTAAACACAATTTCACTAACCAATATAGGGAAATACATGCATTGACCATAAATCACTTTTAAGTTTCCTCTTTAATGACCTATCAAAGAGCAAGAAACAGTCCTAAACTTATGAAGTCCATAATCCTCTTCTCTGCTCACCAAAGCCACATTAAAATCTGGCTTTCATCTCATGTTGCTGGGTTTTCCACCAGGTACAAGATGAAAAGTTGAGAGTCGTGTGCTTTTTCAAAAGCACAACAATTTGTTGGCCGCTCAGAAATTCCTGGTGAAAACCAGAAAGCCTATTAAAAAGGTTAAAAATTTCCTAACCTGACATTTACAAAATAAGCATGAGGTGTTCATAGCCTGTCAGAGAATCCATCTTTTAATTTTTGAACGCTCATAAACATGGGAAAACACACACTTTTGATTTATAAAGCTTATTTGGATCAATACTATAAGTTTATTTGGATCTGCCTTCAAGCCCCAACAAAAGGGAGTTAACTTGATGTTCTTAGTTCATCTCAAGTCTGCCGTGACCCTAACATCAGAATCTGCTTTTAGAATCTTTCCCAATGCTTGAGAAAGGCATGCAACTCACATACTCTTTACCAGCAGAGTTTGCAGGCAGCCCTGCAAAAAATCATTTCTCCCCAGATCTTTGACACATACTCACTTCCCTCCTAAAACCAAGGATACAAGGGAGCATGGCTCAAGCCTCCCAGCCTTTTTGTTCTTAAAAAGAAAAGTAAATTCCCCAGATACTTTCAAACTCCACCAGGAATAGTCATTGTCAGCTCTGCCTGTGGATCATTATATTATCTCTTTACATGTCATCGTTATATTCACTGGGTTCACAGAAAGGGCATACACAGAAAGAAGAAAATAGCTGCTTCTTAGACACCAAATTTAGTAGTTCTCTCAAATCTACTGGCACACATCTAAAAAGTCATATTTTTTATAAGACTTCATTAAATTTTCACTGGTTCAGCCTTTTGAGAACACACAAGCTGAATTGCCCATAATCTTAATCCAACATACATCTGCAAACTACAAGAAATTTTTCATAGGAAGACAAGGACATCTTAATTAAAAAAGGAATAAAGTGGGTGGAGACTAACAGATGAGAGTCACCCAGGTCCCACTCTAGGTCTCCCACGCATCAAGTTGCTAACTGATGGAGACCAGCAATTGACAGGGCACTAGGATTGCAGACCACGCCAATTGCCTTACCTGTTAATATGAGATTACTGTAAGTATTGGAGAACTGCTCCTTTAGAAGAACCAGATGCATCTGTGCTGCCTTTTCCCGTTGGAGTTCCAGCATGACATCAGGATGCTGGGCAATCTTGCAGCCTTTCTGTTTATCCAAGGCAACATCACTTCGAACAATGTCTACAAAAGGAGGCAGGCAGCAAACAAAACAAAAATCCATATACATATTAAAGTCTTGTTTTACTCAAAATGACAACATTTACAAACTACCAGCATTTCCATCAGCCTGAACAGATTATCAGAAATAATAAATCTAAAGGGCATCCTACTTTATGCCACATCCTGTAAGTCCTCTGGTGATTTCCAAATACTTCAGAGACTTCCCTTTCTCTGACCTTAAAATTCTCACTCCTCCATTCTTATTCTTAGCTTACCTCCAAGTCTCCAGGGACCATCTCTTAACAACTTTTACCATTCTCCACAGGGAGTATGCCCATTCAGTTCAAATGCAGGTTACTATTTCTGTAGCTGCTCATGATTTATCCTACCATTTTTCATGGGTTTCAATGTGCAATACTGACTCAGCAACCATCCTTTCCATCTAGAAATATTTTGTGGGTCACTGAAGAAAGCAAGACCAAGGCTAAGTCTTTGCAGACCTGACTCTTTTCCAACCATTAGCACATCAGTGAAAGGCTTTTTTTTTGCACTTCAGTATGATCCTCACTCAGAGCCCAAGTATTCTCCAGAAAATAGCCTTTCTCAAAAAGAAAAATTCATGTAGAATTTCATGTTCCATTTATCAGAGAGCCTTCAAATTTTCAGGAAACAAATGTCCCAATGTTACTAATTTATTTTTACAATTTAAAATATAATTCTGTAATTGTAGGAGGGGGAATGATGCTATCGATAGTAATGTGGATGACAAATCTAGATTTTTTTGCACATCAAAAAAAATGCTTTAAAATAACTGCTCTGTTATTGTTGACATCAGTGGCTTTGGAATGGAAACCAATGCCCAGGTTGATGGCACTGATGGGAGATTTAGCTCTTTAAGCAAAACTCAATGATAATTAACCTAAGAGGAAATAGGTCATGTGTAATGAAAGGTAGAATACTATTCTATACAAATGATCATCAAAACCATCATTAGAGGCCTATAGGAAAAGTCCAGGTTTCCATAAATACAAAACTTGTAACAATGACAGTTAGGATATGTGATACACAAAAATTTTTAGATAAGATCGGGGCACTAGTTGGATATGACACAATATTACTGCCTAAACACATTTATACTAATTTCTGAAATGTGGGCTATAAAAGAAACTACTTAACATAAGTAAACACATAGGTTTTCTGAGGCTTAAATACAGAATTAGAATAAAATGAATTCATAGATACAATTTAATTTTTAAAATCATGCAACAGAAAGAAAAAGGAATAAAAATGTAATTTTTATCTACCTAAACTACACTCTACTGAATGTTTAATTATATCACTGATTCCTTTCTACAATCGCCTAAAAGTGTAAAGCAGACAGTGTTGACTAGCTGACCCAAACCTTCAATATAACTCCTTTTCCTTTTCCTTCCTCTACTATAAAGACTAAAAGCTAAATATACAATTTCCTAGCTTACCCTGAGCAAAAGATAACAGGGCTCTGGCCAATGAGCTTTCAAAAGTCCCCTCAGGGGACTTTTTCACTCTTGCCAAATTAAGACAAAGTCTCACCAACAGAAAATCAGTTTTTCCCTCAGCCTTTTAGTCCTTCCCATTCATTATGTCTGAAACAGAGGCAAGAAACTAGGAGTTATGACAACCAATTTGTGCAAGTGAGTCAAGAATCAAGACAGCAAATGGAAAGATGGAAAGAATAAGTCCCCAAGGTCTTTATTTTAACTGAAGTAATAGGCATTATAATATGTGTCAGTATAATATGTTTCAGTATATAGTACATTTTCAGTATAATATGTTTCAGTTGTACATACTGCGAAGCAGTATGTCTATATACTACATTAAGATCACTACTAAGAGAGCATGTCTTTGTCCTGATTTATCCACCCTTACACTATGCAGTCTAAATGGGAGTATCAGACGAGAAGAGGGAGAGCACAAGATTATTTGAAAAAATAATAAAAAGCTATCCCACATATGATGAAAACCATTAATCCATGGGCCCAAGAAGTACAAATCCAAGTAGAATTATTGCAAAGATGTCTATACCTAGATACATCATAGTGAAACTGCTGAAAGCCCAAGATAAAAATATTATAACAGGAGGGAAAAAAAACTCATTTCATGGCAGACTAAAAATATAATTCACAGTTGTTCTAATTCAAAACAGTGAAGTCCAGAAAAGAGTAGAATGTTTCATCAGAGTATCAAAACACACATATTCTGATAACCAAGACTTTTATATCCAGTAAAACTATCATTTTAAAATGGAAGCACTAGAGAGTTGGGAAAATGGCATCAGAGGAGGGTTCCTGCTTTGCTCCCAGTACAATAACCTAAAGTAGTGCAGAACAGCACTGCACCCCAAGGATTCGTATAACTTGGATCAAACTAAAGTACATCCTACAAATTAGAGAACAACACTAAGCACAACAGAAAACAATGATAAAGTTCAAATTTATGTGGGTCTTGGGAGAGGAGAGCTGATTTGTGTGGAGATGCATCCTTAATTGAGGGGAGATACATATGGAGGTGTTGGGGTGAGCCAAGCAGGCACAGTCCCCAGTAAAGAGGGAAGCTTCAAAATCTCCCACCTCTCCCACCACCTTAGTACCCATGAAGTAGTGCTGAAAGCCTAACCAACAAACTGTAAAGCCACAGGTCTCAAATCGTAGCAAGGAGAGCTATCAACACACCCACAAATATAAGTCAGCTCCACACACCACTTTCACCAGTGACTGTACCTCTCCAGGCCCCTCCCCCACTCCTGAATCTGCAGTTGCAGATCAGTACTACCCAATGTATAATGTCATAAATATATACCAACATACAGACAGTAAAGGCTAAAAAATAATACCCACAGTGCCATCTACTGGAAAAGTCAAAGTTCTACAAAATTAGGACATGACAAATGGCAAAACGGGCAGATGGAAAAATACAACATGTGGCACATTAAGTCCTCAAGGAACTATCTCACCACAGAAAGAGAACACATCTTCATAATCCAAAGACATGGGTTTTCTTTTCTTCTTATCAGATGAAGAGATCAAAATTGCCAAGATAAAGAAAGGGAAATAAACATAGAAAAGCTGATCAAATGTATACAAGAAAACTCATCTTTACATGTAGGAATTTCCAATGGTTCCAACACCATTGTTGTGAGCCTTCCTTTTTCTGCTGAATTGCCTCTATACTTTTGTCAAAAACTGGTTTGACAATATTTGTGTGGGCTTATCACTAAGCTCTCTAACATCTTCCACTGACACATTTATCCTTTACCAGTATCATCCTACCCTCTTGATCATATTGTCTTGAAGTAAAAGAATGAGTTTTCCAACTCTGTTCTTCTTTTTCAAAATTGATTTTGACTATTCCAGTTTTGACTATACACACACACACACACACACACACACAAACTTGTACATATACAAACTCATACACATACAGAAAAATTTTAGTAGGTTTGATTTGGTTGGGATTGAACTGAATCCACAAATTACATATTAGGGTGAATTGATGATTACATATTAGGGTGAATACAGAAATCACATTTGATTTTTTATTAGTTTTCTAGTTTTAAACATATTGTTCCTGCGTTTTGCTAGATTTGTGCTATTATTTGCTTTTTTGTGCTATTCTAAATAGTAATTTTTGGAAATTGCAAATTTAAGTGCTTATTATAAGTATATATATTAAAATATGAATTACTTTATACTTACATTGTACCCTGAAGCATTGATAAGCAAATTTATTAGTTCACAGGAGCTATTTTATAAATTCTTATGGATTTTCTAATGTAGGTTATCGTGTTGTCTGCAAATAGAGACATTTTTATGTCATCTCCCAATTTCTTTGTCCTGCCTTATTGCACTGGCTAGGACTTCAAGTATAATACTGAATCGGAGTAGTGAAAGTTAAAACCCAGCCTTTCTCTCAATCTTAGATAAATAACCGGTCTTATTATTAAGAATGTTACTTCAGCATTTTTTTTAAATCTCAGTTGTTTACACTTTATAATTTTAGGAATAAAACTTTACACCTCCATATGTGCACCTACTTCACTCATCCTCTGTAATAACTCTAGCATTGTTATCCTATCCCTTTCCTTCCCCTCTCTGCTCCTCCCTACCCCACATTTCCTCTGGTAGCCAGTTTATTTTTCAAAGTCTAAGAATTATTTTGATGTGCTTTGTCAGCTTTTCTTCGGTTATTTATAGTCAACAGATGAGTGACCACCTGCTAACGTTTCTCATTTTTATTTAATCACTTAGCATAATCACATAAAGATAACCCCATCTGACGTTCATCTGTTTTAACAACTGTGTAAGGAGCCCATTGAGTAGATATTCTATAATTTCTTTATCCAGTCACCTGTCATTGGGCACTTAGGTTGGTTCTATGACTATTCTGAATAATGCTGCTGTGAGCGCAGGAGTGCATGGTGGTTTCATATTCTTTGAATAAATAGCAAGAAGTGGCATTGTTGGATCATACAGTAATTTCATTTTTTTTTTTTTAAGGAATCTTACCCTTTTCCATAGAGGCTATATCAGATTACAGATGAGTTTCTTTTTCTCTTGCCAACATTTGTTTTTTTCTGTTCTCTGAAATAGGTCATTCTCAAAAGGATGAGATGATACTTTATGAGATGATACATTATGGCTTTGATTTATGTTTCCTTTATAATAAGTGATGTTGAGCTTTTATTTTCACGTGCATTTTTGCCAATTGGATGTCTTCTGTGTAGCAGAATCTGTTTAGGTCTCTTGCTCAAATTTTTTTTTTTGTTTTTATGTTAAGTTAAATGAGCACTTCATATATTTTGGAAATGAAACACTTTTCAGAAGTGTGGTATATACTATCTTCTCTCAGTTGTCGGTCACCTTTTTATTTTGTGGTGGTTTCTTTTGAGGTGTAGAATGTTTTTAGTTTGATATAAATTTATTTACTTTATTTTGCTTTTGCTTCCTTTGCTGTTGAAAATGTGTTCCCACATTTATGTTTGT